ATATTTAAACCGGGCTACAAGCTGCGGTGGATGTTATATAAGGACGAGGTCCTTGTGGTTAGAAATTTATGTGTTTAAATTCTCCCTTGTGAAATTAAAAATGTGTACTATAGTACTTATAGGGAGTCATGCCTATGAGGCTTATTTGAAAATTCTTGTATGAATATCTCTGTGCATAATTTGCCAAATTTGTATTTTAACTATTGAGTTTAGCCTACAAGATGGGTGCCCAGGTGGCATTAATTGTGAATCGTTAATTTGGGTAAGTAATTATGAGGTCTTCATGCTACGTTGTTAGTAAAGTGAAACCTTGAAACGAGAATTTGTTAACATGAAGTTAATTGGTGATTTTTAATTGATTATGTACAACTATTAAAACCAAAGATGTGGTTAAGGTCATGCATATGATGTGTTTCATGTCCAGATATCATTATGATAATATCATACTTGTAATGCGGAGATTAGTGTTATTGATATATACATTGTGGAGCATTATTGGGTTGTGGATATGTTGTTATGAGTTGTTTGGGTGTTACTCTGACAGGTGGATAGTCCCAATTACAGCGGAGACTCTGCCGAAATTTCTGAAAATTTTGGGAGTTAGAAAAATTTAGGACATTGAGTTGTGCAAAGAAAGAGATAAGTTACATTATTTGTTTGAGGACAAACTCTACTTATTATTTGAGGACGAATGATCGTAAGTGGGGGATAATGTAACACTCCGGATTTGAGGGGTGCAAAGGCACGAGTTGCTATAACCAATTGAGATTAAAATCATGTGTTGATGTGAAGAACGAACCTTTATAGTAATGACTAGAGTGTAAGAAATTTGGTCTTAAAGTTACAACTATGGATAAAGGAAATAATATCAATTGAAACGGTATTGTCGTACTTATTTCAAACGATGGGATCAACCACGAGTATATGTGTAAAAGTAGAAACATCAAATTTGAAAGCTCAGAATAATCTTAGTACGTTCGAGGACGAACGTTTATTTAAGAGGTGGAGAATGTAACGACCCGGCCAGTCATTTTGAATAAGTACAACCTCGTTTCCCCCTATACTGCTAAATTCATGCTTCATGGTTCTTATGTAACTTGCCGGGGAAATTGGTTCAGGTTCGGAAAGGTTTTGAAAGGAATTGAGACAATTAGTCTCCAAGAAGAGAGCTTAAGTTGAAATAAATTAACTGGAAGGTGAAATAAGAGTAAACAAAATCCGAAATGGATTTTGGATGATTCCAATAGCTCCGTATGGTAATTTTGGAGTAGGAGCGTGCCCGGAAAATTCTTTTGAAAGTTCGTAGTTTAATTAGCCTTGAAATGGCGAAAATGAGAAGTCAAAACTTGGAAATTTGACCGAGGAGTTGACTTTTTGATATCGAGATCAAAATCCGACTCAAGAAGTTGTAATAGCTCCATTATGTCATTTATGACTTGTGTGCAAAATTTGGGGTCAATCGGACTTGATTTGATAGGTTTCGGCATTGTTCGTGGAATTTGAAATTTCTAAGTTCTTAAGCTTGAATTCGAAGTTGATTTGGTGTTTTGATGTTGTTTGGGGTGATTTGAAAGCTCGACTAGGTGTTAATGATGTTATGGGAGGTGTTTGTATGTTTGGGTTGAGGTCTGAGGGCCTCGGGTGTGTTTCGGGTGAGTTTTGAGCGAGTACAGACATTAAATGGATGGGGCAGAAATTTTAGTGCTGGGCGCGGTCATTTTTGCGCTGGGCGCGGTGGCCTAGCGTTGGGCGCGGGAAAATGACCGCGGTCCGCGGTCATGAAGATCCGCAGGTCGTCGGTCCAATTTCGGAAGCTCATATCTTTTGATCTACAAGGAATTTGGGGATGATTCAAAAACGAAAGTTGTAGGTCTTGAATCTAGTTTTCAGAAACATATTATAATAGACATTTGGATATATGTAGAGAAAGTTATGGCCAAAATACCAAAGACTGTCACTGCAGTCAAATCCACCGCGGACAGCATTCGTTTTTGCGCGGACCGCACTGGTTTTGCGCGGACTGCATAGGTGGAATCCGTGGGGTACTCTATAAATATGAAGTTTTGGGTTTTATTTGATATTTTGACCTAGAGAGCTTGGAATTTGGCAATTTTTCGAAAGTTTTTCAAGAAATTCATCGGGGTAAGTGATTCTAACTCGGATTTGACTAGAATACATGAATCTATCATAAAATTCATCATTTAATTCATTATTTGGGATGGAATTGGGAACAAAATTGTGAAATCTTTCCAAAATGTAAAATGATAATTTGAAGGACCAAATGGTATCGGAATTGGATAATTTTTGTATGGGTGAACTCGTATCGAAATGGGTATTCAGTTTTGTAAATTTTTATCCGATTCCGAGGCATGGGCCCGAGGAACATTTTGGTCATTTTACTTGATTTCGCGTATTAGCTTAGAACTTAATTGTAGAATGGGTTACTTGAAGTGTTATTTACGTTATGCAATTTAATTGAATAGATTTGGGCCATTTGGAGTCGGATACGCATGGCAAGAACGTGGTTTCGGATTTATTATTGAGCCGGATCGAGGTAAGTGTTTGGTCTAACCTTAGCTTGAGGGATTAGGAGTTGTGCCATAAATGTTATATGTTATTTGTCGAGTACGACGTATAGGCATGGTGACGAGTATCTATACGTTGGTGTCAAGCATGCCCGTGAGTCTTTATACTTTGATTAATGTGACTCCTATTTGACTTAACTGAAGAGTTTTGCCTCTCTTATTGTGATGTTGTATTTTCATAACTATTTGACTCGTGTTGATTTCCTTATTATTGACTTGTATATTGTGGGATCGTTGCTACGTGTTAGTTTCCCGTTATTGAACCATTCCTTTATGCCAGTATTCTTTTCTGTGCTTATTCCTTTGAGCTGGTTCTACCATTTTTTTATGATTTACAGCCCTTGAGTTGATTTACTTGTCGTACCTTGTGTTATTGTCATTGTTGTTGTTATATGTATTGCGGTGATGTTCGATCCTTCTATTGTGATGTAACTGTTGATTCTGTCGGTTGCATTGTGTATTTATTTTGGGACTACGGATGTGGGATTCCAGTAGTTCCCCCTTGTTTGTTACTTTGGGACTACGGGTTAGATTCCCGGGAGATTCCCCCTATATATTTACTTTGGGACTACGGGTTAGATTCCGGGTTAGATTCCTGGGAGATTCCCCCTGCACATTTACTTTGGGACTACGGGTTAGATTCCGGGTTAGATTCCTGGGAGATTCCCCCTGCACATTTACTTTGGGACTACGGGTTAGATTCCGGGTTAGATTCCTGGGAGATTCCCCCTGCACATTTACTTTGGGACTACGGGTTAGATTCCCGGGAGATCCCCCTGCACATATATTGAGGATACCAAGAGATCTCTGCACATATATTGAGGATACCAAGAGATTCCTAGCATATATATTGAGGATACCAAGAGATCCTCGGGATATCAAGAGATCCCTAGCATTCATATTGACGGTACAAAGAGATCCTCGGGATACCAAGAGATCCCCAGCACATATATTGAGGATACTAAGAGATCCTCGGGATATCAAGAGATCCCTAGCTCATATACGGAGGATACTGAGAGATCCCCGAGTATTTACATTTGGGACTACAGGACGGTATCCTGGGAGATCCCCGGTTGTTATCTATATATTGAGGTGTACTCCTTTTGTGATTATTTTATCTCCGTTGTAATTGTTGTTATCAATTCAAGTGTTTTGATGGTTTAGATTTCCTTTACGGCTTGATCCTTTGTGTAGGAATTTATAGTGTTGAGAATACCTCACCCTATTGTTTTATATATATTAAATACTTTAAATTTCAATAATTGTTATATTTTTAACTCAATTGATTTCTCAGCTAAATTTTCCTTAAACCGTTGAGGTTGTACTTTACTTAAAAGGGAATTTCTTCTATATTTTGATTTATTTATTTCTCGTATTAGAGGTAATAATTTATTCGATATTGTACTTCAATTGAAAAGGGTATTTTCTTTATCAAATGATTTCTAAAAATAACTTCATCTTTTCTTGTTGATTTCCTGTTTGGGCTGGGAGTTGTACCCTACTTTATGTTAAGTGAATGAGGCTCCTTGAGCATTCTTAATTGTATTGGGTTATGGAACCTATGAACTGAATAATATGAGGATATTTGTTGTGAAAAATGAGACAAAAATATGTGGGCACGAGGTGCCGCGAAAATATGAAAGTGGGTTGAGACCAATATTATTTATGATTATGAAATGAGGCGTCACAAGATGACTTTTACTCGAAAGGAAATATATTCGAAATATATTTATTGAAAGCCGTATTATCTTAGAGATTATTACTTGAAGGATTTATAGGCAAAAGATTTATATTTGAAGGACTTGATTAATTGATTGCACTTGTATTTATTATTTGTTGAGAAACATTTATGTTGCCTGCTATTTATATTACCGGTTGATCATTGTTGCTACCATTGTTATCTGCTTCCTATTATTTTGTACGCTATATTGCACAAGTTTAATTGGTAGTCTGGTCCTAGTCTCGTCACTACTTCGCCGAGGTTAGGCTAGGCACTTACCAGCACATGAGGTCGGTTGTGCTGATACTACACTTCTGTACATTTTTGTGTACAGATCCAGGTATTTGATCAATAGTAGATGTTCGTTGCAGTGGAGATTCGAGGTAAACCTGTTGCAACCTTCGCGGTCCTCGGAGTCACCTTCAATTGTACTTATTTTCATATGTTCCTTTTGTTCGGAATAGTGATGTATTTATTTTGTATAACTACTCTTAGAAAAGCTTATGACTTGTACTACCGGTTTTGGGAATTATAAATTGTTTAGAGAAATTTCATTTGAAGTTAATAAATATCAATGTTATTTCAGTTAATGTTAGGCTTACCTAGTTTAGAGACTAGGTGCCATCACGACTCCTGCGGAGGAATTTTTGGGTCGTGACAAGTTGTGCTTCTATTTCTGCATTTGCGTCTCTCATTTATTTTTTATATTTTGTTTCTTATATCTAAATGATTGATTTTGATCTGATGTGCATATTTGTTTGTTTTATCTATGTATATTTTTTTTTGGTTATATTCTTTTTGTTGTCTGTGATTTTGGGTATCCTTATAATCCGACAAAGCAGAGGAGGTGGTAGGGCAATCACCAGGTTTGTTATTGAAGGGTTCAATCATATTTCAAGAGCTTTAATACTAAAAAAATTTGCAAACTGCAATATTCAGAAAGGTTGAAAATGAGTGTTTTACAAGCACCGGAAACTCTTCAATAAAAAATGTTGAAGAAGAACATTTGAGAAGCACTAGAAGATATGAGGTTCTAATGAATTGGTTATCATTACAATAGCATTGTGCACACTAATTTACGCAATGTGTTTGATATATGGCTGAAAATTGAGATAACTGAATAATGTTTTTTTTGTTTCTTTTGTTTTTATTTACCATTTTGAAGCTTACTGTTCTTCCTTCTTCGGCATGCATATGTGTGAGTTTTTTGCCAAGTAATGTGAAGCATATTATTTTTTCCTCGCAAATTATTGTTATTATTTTCTTCTGTTTTGGTTGTCTCTTCTTGTGAGTGTATTGATATATTTTTTCCCATTTTGTTGCCCAGTCCTGGGCACATGTTCTGATGTTGCACATTTTCATGGATCTTGAGTTTTTTTTGTAAAGGTAAAGAAATGGATCTTGAAATTACTGAGATATGTGGATCAAAATAGTGTGATCGGAGTTTTCATTTTTAGTGTGGTCGGAGTTTTCATGTAAAGGGTAATATGTTTGTCATCAATGGAGATGGGCTTGAAGAGACAACAAGCAATTTATTGCTGCTTGGCTAAAGAAGCTCAGTTATTACCTCAGCCTCTGTGACACATGGTAAGTCCGAATTCATCATAGCATTTTTCCCTAATGTGTGTTACTGTATTTATTTCAATTAACTCGAGTTTCATTTTAGAGGGCTGATTATAGTGAGTTCAAAGTACATAATTTTCTGTGCAGGTCTTCAAAGCTTAATCATTTAAATACTCCAGACAAAATACTCAGGCTACAAAGGCTTACGACAGGAGTAAAACTGATTGAAGCCACATCTAAAAGCTTCCGTCTGCAGCTTGATTTCAGACATGACAGTAGCGTCAACTACCAAATAAACGTATTCCTTCGAGCTACTGAAATCCACTTGCAAATTTCATCCAAGGTATTGAAAGAAATATCAACAGATTCTTTTGTATTATGTAGATTTTAAAAAACTTGCGATCAGGTTTCCGAAAGAACATCAAACCAATTAGATTTGAGATTTATTTCAGACTGTGGAATTCAAGCATCAACCACGTCACATTGCAGCAGAGGTAATTTATAGCACCGCTTTGTCATCATGAACGCCTTTAGTTTTTACGGTTATTAGTGGCTGAATAGATAAATTTAATCACATTTGTGTTTGAAGTGCTTATTGGTTGTTACTAAGTATATAATAGTTTTGACATGTTGAGTTCTGCTTATTTACTTTTTCGGCAAATGAGAAAAAAGTGATCTTATAGAAGTTTGTAGCCTTGTGTTTTCCCTCATCAAAATCATAGCTTCGCATATTTAAGATTTAATTTGTGATTTACTCATCAGCTATTATAGATTAGTTATAAAGGATTAAACAACTAATTTTTTTTTCCGTTGGAATGGCATTGTCAAAAATTTATTGATATATTTTTCTCTTTTTTGATGTTGCACATTTTTATGGATCTTGAGTTTTTTTTGTAAAGGTAAAGAAATGGATCTTGAAATTACTGAGATATGCGGATTAAAAATAGTGTGATCGGAGTTTTCATATTTAGCGTGGTTGGAGTTTTCATATAAAGGGTAAGATGTTTGTCATGAATAGAGGTAGACTTGAAGAGACAACAAATAATCTATCGCTGCTTGGCTAAAGAAGTTCAATTAGTATCTCAGCCTCTGTGACACATGGTAAGTCCGAATTCGTCATAGCATTTTTCGCTAATGTGTGTTACTGTATTTATTTCAATTTATGCAATTCTTTGTAACTCGAGTTTCATTTTAGAGGGCCGATTATAGTGAGTTCAAAGTACATAATTTCCTGTGCTCCTCAGGCTACTAAAGCTTACAACAGCAGTAAAATTGGTTGAAGCCACGTCTAAAAGCTTCCGTCTGCAGCTTGATTCCAGACATGACGGTAACGTCAACTACCAAATAAACGTATTCCTTCAAGTTACTGAAATCCCCCTGCAAATTCCATACAAGGTACTGAAAGAAATTTTAAGTTCTCTTCATTTATTTTATTACCCTGCTATTCTTCTGAGTATCTGTTTTATTTTCTGTTGACAAGATTTTCAGTGTATTAAATTATTATTATTATATCTGATTTTGACGTGATCACAGAACACAACCAGAAATTACAATTATAGAAGATAAAGAAGAAGCCCCATCTACTTCATTTTATCTATTGATTTTTTTGCTATTCTGTGTAAATTAGAGAAAGTGCAACAGAGAAATTTCCTCGAGATGAATATGCTGACCCAAAAAATGATGAGGATGAAAAGGGTGACTATCTGGGAGATAAAGACAATGCGGATAACTTAAAGATCAAAATCATGTGAAGTATTTCCTTGCTCCTTAATGCTTTTGTAGAGTTTGTTTAACGCAAGCTATTTCACTTTCATTTAATCCGCCAAGACTTGTTCTACTTTTCTCTTCGATATGTTCATTATTTGTGTGCATGTCATTAACGCCTTTTGCTATTACGGTCTTATATTCAAATAAATAAGGTGGAGCATGTAACTGTAATTAGAAAGACTTAATACTATATTTTATTAATTTAAATAAATCACATTAAGTTTTATTCTTTTCCGGTCTGCAAATGTGAATCGTTCAGTTAGTCCAGTGGCTTTATATCATTTTGCGAGATATTTTTGTGAATGTAACCTGAAAAAGAAAAAATTCTCAGTGCTTGAATTTTCGATCCTGAAAATATTTCTTATTTCAGTTCTTTGGTTTGTTAAGTCATAGCAATTATGTCAAATAGCTTAAGGGTTTCAATGTGGTTACAGTGTAAAGAATTATAACTCCAATTGGTGGTACAATATGATTCTCTGTGATAAAATGAATTATGTTATCTTTGATGTCTACATATGGTAGTTGGCCCTGTCCTGTTGTTATCTGCTTTTTTGCTACAGGTAGTACAGTTTTTCCATTTAAATTCTTCTGATGTATTTCTCCTCTTTGACCACTTCTGTTATGCCATTCCACTATTGTTGGTTTTTTCTATGTTTCAGCCCTCCTTTGAGTACCTCACAATGCTATCTTGACCACCATTGGATCTTCTTATGCTTTTGATTACTAATTTTTTCTTTCAAAGTTTTTTCTTGGTAGAACATCAAAAGTTTATCCTGTTATCCATTTCCTTAAGAATCCTTATTTCAGTACTGAATGTTAATTCTTTCATTATATCTTCATATGTTAGTGGTAATGCATGGGATTTGTAGCTTATGTACTGATAAGTTTTAAACAATAAAACTCTAGAATGCACGTTATTCCGAGACCGAATAGGAAAATTGAATTACTGTGATTATTTTGTTAAAGCTGTGTATTATTAATAAAGTCATTGATATATAGCTTGTCAATTTTCAATTTTGATGGTATGGTTACTACTCTTTACTACAGCGGACTTTCAATGAATAACAATAACGTAACATTTTTCGTTGCTGGAGTAGTAGACTTGCTCAATACCTGTCTTTTACCATTCTTATGTGAGGGCAGTTGAACACGAAAGTTAATAAATGATTAGTACTGGAAGATAAACTCAGAGCTCACTTGAGATGGTTGGCATGTCTTGTGTGGACCTTCAGATTATATTGCTGAATTTCTCAGCCGGTATAGGATTCTCTTCGTGGTTGATTATTAAGTTAGATTAGACAGACAAGCCATATGAAATACCAATATTCACTTGTTGAACCGAGGAAATAGTTGTCATGGAAGTCCTATTTATTTTTAAAGTCATTCGATGTCTTTTCTTACTATAGTTGCAAATTCATCTTTGCGACAGTTAATACAGAGCGTGTGAGTGAATCTCCAATTTCTCACAAGGCTTCCAAAAAAGGGTCTTGTAAGGTACCTGCAAATTCAAATAAGAGGAAGAAAAAAGATACATCATCTGAATCTAAAGACGAGGAGCTAAATAGTGGTGAGGAGAGTGACGACTATGAAAAACAATTTAATTTGTTCTTATTTGGGTCCTTCTTGGTTTGATTATGTTTCCATTGTTGTCCTGTTATGGTTGCTTCTTCTATAGTTTCTGCAATTTGTAGTTTTTGTTGGAGTTCTTCCTTTTATGAGAAATGACAACTGTCAGATTCAAGTGTCTTTTATTGGTGAACATTCTTTCTTGTTCTATTGAACTTTAATTGCTGGATATTAGTTTTATAGTTAGTCTGATTCTATTGAATCTTTAATTGCTGGATTTTTAGTTTACCTTTACGAAAAGATTGAATTTTTAGTTAGTGTTTAGTTCATATTCCTAGGTTTTTGTTTACTGCTTTTTCTGATTCTGAATAATGAAACTTTAATTAATGAGTTTACAAAAAAATGTAATCTGTAGTTAATTATTAGTTTCATTTGTTGTATTGGTCTACTATTTTCAAGTTTAACTTGGTCTTAAGCATCTTTGAGCTGAACTTGGAATGAGTACTGAATCAATGCAATTTCTTTACATGCTAATTCCTGTTTCTTTTGTTAGAGAAATTCAACTAGCACGAGGACTATCATTTGCCATTACTGCAAAGGTCAAGGAAAGGGTGCTGCCAAAGCTACAAGAAGTAAAAAGGGCAGTGACCATGGAAGGAGTCGACCTCCATCGGCAAACAAAAGCTCCCAGCCTGAATGGAAGAGTACAACTTTTCTGGTTAAGTTAAAAGCTCTGAATATTTCCATTGGCTGCTCAGTTGCACTTTAAAAAGTGAATCATTTTCATCATTATTTTCATTCTACAGTATGAAATTTAGCAAGTGTAAAGCATTTGTGCTTTAAATTGGTAACCTGTATTGACAGAGACCATTAACCGCCAAGATAGAAGGCTCTGTCCAAGTTTGTATCTGCTCGACTCTATATCTATAATTCACATATGTCAATAAATTACAAGGTGATTGAATTTTATCCTTGACTAGCAGTTCCAATACTAAGTACTCCACCATGGAGTTGATGTTCATGTTAAGCACCAAAATTGATTGTGTAACTATAATGTTTAACCATTGCAGTTCGCGTGAAGTTTAATATATCAATTGTCAGAGCAGTTAAAAAGCATTGGAAATTGATAATATATTAACAAACTTTCCTGGAATGAATAAAGTATTACCAAAAACAAAATCTAATAAATACCAAACCAGGCAAAGGAACATGGCATTTTCCTTGGATAATTTAGAGTACTATGAGAAACGACTGCAAAAAAAAATTAACGCTAAATAACTATTGGGCCTGTGCTTAGCACAGGCTATACCCACTGGTATATATATATATATATAGATATATATAGGTAAAACTTTATATTTTTGGGGCGCCTAAGGCAAGAACTTACCCTAGGGCCTAGAGCCGCCCTTGCTCGGAGGTATGCAAGCACCCGGGGCACCGAAAGCTCGACTCGATTTCCTAAACACAAGGCCGCCTCCGAATTATGTTGCTGGATTGGGCCGTGGTGCTACGGGTTTCACTACCCGTTCTGATATTGGGCCTGCCCGTGCTGCCCCTGACCTCCCAGATCGTTCAGCTGCTGCTGTTGGCGGCGCTGCACCGGCAGCTGGCGGCGTTGGCCGTGGCCGTGGAAAGGGTGGTGCCGGAGAGGAAGACGAAGAGGATGATAATGAGGAAAAGGGTTACGATGAGAACCAGAAATTCGATGAATTTGAAGGTAATGATGTAGGGTTATTTGCTTCTGCTGAGTATGATGAAGATGATAAAGAAGCTGATGCTATTTGGGAAGCTATTGATCAGAGAATGGATTCGAGGAGGAAAGATAGAAGAGAAGCTAGGTTAAAGGAAGAAATTGAGAAGTATCGAGCGTCTAACCCAAAGATTACTGAACAATTTGCTGACTTGAAGAGGAAATTGTATACATTGTCGAGTGCCGAGTGGGATAGTATACCTGAAATTGGGGATTACTCGTTACGAAACAAGAAAAAGAGGTTTGAGAGTTTTGTGCCTGTTCCTGATACACTTTTGGAGAAGGCTAGGCAGGAGAAAGAGCATGTAAGTGCATTGGATCCGAGGAGCAGGATAGTTGGTGGCATGGAGACACCTTCAGCGCAGACGCCCGTTGCTGATTTGACTGCCGTGGGTGAAGGGAGAGGAACTGTGTTGTCGGTGAGGTTGGATAGGATTTTGGACTCGGTTACTGGACAAACCGTGGTGGATCCTAAGGGATACTTGACTGATTTGAAGAGCATGAAGATTACTAGCGATGCCGAGATTTCGGATATTAAGAAGGCTAGGTTGTTGCTTAAGTCGGTTACTCAGACAAATCCGAAGCATCCTCCTGGTTGGATAGCAGCTGCTAGACTGGAGGAGGTTGCGGGGAAGATGCAGGTAGCGAGGCAGTTGATAAAGAAAAGTTGTGAAGAGTGTCCTAAGAATGAGGATGTTTGGTTGGAGGCGTGCCGTTTAGCGAGCCCCCTTGAGGCTAAGGCAGTGATTGCTCAAGGTGTTAAAGCAAATCCTAATTCAGTG